GGTATTATGTCATACCTAATTTTATTTGCCCATCCCATTGATTAGATTGAAACTGTTAAGTATTAGTAATTGTAGTACTTAGTTATTCATGATGTGACTTGAAATTTGGTAGTATTTTTTGTTTAATCTTAATATTATACAAGTTTTATTGTGAATTTTATAAATGCCTACCTACTTATTTAATTACTTTTTGGAATTTAAAATATTTCAGTCAGTATGAATTAAAACAATTACATTTTTCATTGCATTAGATAGAAGAAGATTGTAAATGAAACCATGGAGCAGATTCCACCCCCCAAGGAAATAAAAATTTTGGAAACAGCAGAAGACATCCAGGAAAGGCGTCAACAGGTTTTGACTCGTTATGATAATTTCAAAGCTGATGCCAGAGCTAAAAGAGAGAAACTTGAAGATTCTCGTAGATTCCAGTACTTTAAAAGAGATGCAGATGAGCTAGAATCATGGATTTTAGAAAAACTTCAAGCAGCTAGTGATGAGAGCTACAAAGATCCTACCAATTTGCAGGTAAAGTATATTTTTTAATTAATCAATGATCCTACAAGGAAGTTAAAAAGTATTAAAAATTTAATTTTGCGTATATTATAGTTTGTTAGCAAAAAATGTATTTTTTTAAATAATCAGGATATCATATATCATATAATCATTTATAATTAATGATTCATCTAATTTAAAATATGTTCAATTTAATCAATTAATGTCATTATATAATAAATACTGGAATTGCCTTTTGTGTCCAATCATTTCTATAAATTAAACTGTTTTGAGGGCAAGGTCAGTATGGTTTAACTTTACAGGATTTGATAATTTTAATTTACAGCAAAGAATAAATAAAATCGACATTATACAGTCACATAAAATCAACTTGAATGTATTGGACCCCTATTAAAAGTTTCTTTTAAGTTTATTCAATTCTGAATCGTGTAATAACTTGTCATCTTCTGCTCTACTGTGTTATATATTATAATATAATAATTTTTCAAAAGCTATGGTGACTTATGGACAGGGAATGTAAATGGGGCATGACAGCATTACTGGATAAATTAGATATCACGTTAATTGATAAGGTAAAATGACCCTTGAAAATGAAAAATTCAAATAAATACCCAGTGCCTAATGACATAAATTATTATAATGAATTTTTAATCTTACCAACAACAAAAGCCATGTTATTTATTTATACTATTATAGTATTCCTCTTCGAGATCATACAAATCGGCTGCCATATCGTCTCTAAGGGACATCAACTTCTGATCACACTCTGCCTGTTTTGTCCTGTTGGCAAATTGATTGAAAAACAAATTTAATTTATGTTTTTTAATCTTTACCTAAATAGCTTGGAGTTTTGCGTGATTGCTTCATTTACTGAAGGAAAGTCGTTCAATATAAGATACTGTTTTATATCAGATACTAATTTCATTAAGGATTCACCAGCTCTCACAATATTTGCTGCACGAACATGCATTTCATAAGTGTCTTGCTCACATCGAGTCATACGTGAAAGTTGTGTATCATGTTCTCCCTTGGCAAGCTTTACAATTTCTGTAAAATAGAATAAGTACATGGGACTCTTTTGAACTTTAATAAAACATTTTCAAAGTTACTAACCTTCAAAGTTTTCTAACATACTTTTTACGTCATCTTTTAGTCTTGTGCGATACGATTTTAATAAGGCTTCTTTACTTTGAGGAAGACTTCTATTCATAGACATTATTAGTTATGTAAAATAAGTGAATAAAATAAATATAAATTAAATAATATAGTCGCTCAAATTTAGGGTTATAATAATTTTTTCTTCTTTTTCTCTATTTATAACCATAGATAATTTATAACTTTCACGTTATAAGGAACATTTAGCCAATACAGCATTGTAATGTGAAGTGGACAGTTGTGTGTATGTTGTCAGGTTCAGTTGAGTGATCTATGGTTGAGTGATTGCTAGAAGTACGAATAAGTGGGTTGAAATATTTTACGATTAGTGAAAGAGTGAATAATTGTATTAAAACTGATCGAATTAAAAGGTAGATAATTTATGATTACAGTAATATAGTTTTAATTAATTGTACTTTTAATTGGTTATTTAATTATCATCTTTAAACAATTTATGGCCACCACACCCAAGTTTTTCTACAGTTT